CGCGCGGAGAGGACGGAGCCGGAGAGGAGGGAGGCCGAGTGCCTGGCTGGCGTTCCCTAGCCGGAAGGAGATAAAACTCCGACTGTGTTAAGCCCTAGTTCTGACTGCTCTGAACCCTAGTTCTAGGCCAGACCCCGGGGACCCAGGCTCATACAGAGGGAGCTGGGCTGTAAGGCGAAACCCCAGGGAAGCGGTGAAAGGAGGTCCCGGAGGCGCGCACACTGCGCGCAGAGAAGGGATGGTCAGCCGTGCCGCGGGATTGCCCTGGCGGGAAGGAGACAGGGGCTCCAGACTGCTCTGAGCACCACCTCCAATTCCACTTCCAACTGAACTAAACCCCAATACCGGGCTCATTGGGGGAGAGCCTAGACTGTTTGGAAGCAGGCGAAAATCGAGGGCACCTTTCTCAGAGGCGCTTGCAGCGAGTACTGAAGGACCCTGGGGATTACTGAGACCGCATAGGGCGGGGCTGACGGAAGCCAAGGCTGTAGGCTCCACCCTGAAATCCCATCCCATCTGTAACTGCGAAATGCGACAACGAAATAGATCACAAACAAAAGAAATGGAGGACAAAAAGCGACTGGATATAGAGTTCAAATCTACGCTTATAAGGTTTTTCAAGAATTTCCTAGAAAAGATGGATAAGACCTATGAGGATATGAAAAGAGATCAACTAGAATTAATAAGGAGTCAACAAGAAATGATAAGGGATCAACAAGAAATGATAAGGGATCGACAAGAAATAAAGAATACATTGTCTGAAATAAAAAATATTATACAGAGTCCTAAAAACAGAATGGAAGATCGCAAGAATCAAGTCAAAGATTTGGAACATAAGGAGCCAGAAGACACTCCTCCACAGAAGCTAGAAGGCAAGAGAATCCAGAAAATTGAAGATAATGTAAGAAACCTATGGGACAACTTCAAGCGAACCAACATCAGAATTATGGGGGTCCCAGAAGATGAGAGAGAGCAAGATATTGAAAACATACTGAAAGAAATAGTGACAGAAAACTTCCCCCACCTGGTGAAAGAATTAGACTTACAAGTCCAGGAAGCGCACAGAACTCCAAACAAAAGGAATCCAAAGAGGACAACACCAAGACACATCATAATTAAAATTCCTAGAGCAAAAGACAGAGAATATTAAAAGCAGCAAGAGCAAAGAAGGTAGTTACCTATAAAGGAGCACCTATACGATTGTCAGCTGACTTCTCAACAGAAACCTTGCAGGCCAGACGGGAATGGCAAGAAATATTCAAGGTGATGAATAGTAAGAACCTACAGCCAAAGATAATCTATCCAGCAAAGCTATCACTCAGAACCGAAGGTCAGATAAAGAGCTTCACTAATAAAAAAAAGCTAAAGGAGTTCATCACCACCAAACCAGAATTATATGAATTGCTGAAGGGGGTTCTTTCAGAAGAGAAAGTAAATAAAGATAAAAATTATGAACAACAAATACGTAACTATCAACAAGTGAATCTAAAAACCAAGGAAATTTAAAAAATCTGATGAACAATATTAACTGTTGAATATAATAGAATCAGAGGTATGGAAGGGAAGTGAACTGACGATTCTTGGGGGAAAGGGGAGAGGGGGATGTAGGAAGAGACTGAACATAAACTGTGCACCTATGGATGAGGACAATGGGGAGTGGGGAAAGGGCAGAGGGTGGGGTGGGAACCTGGTGGAGGAGAGCAATGGTGGGGGGGAAAAAAGAAACATTTATAATAATAAACAATAAAAACTTATTAAAAAAAAAAACAAAAAAAAACAAATCACCCAGATTCCCGGAATCCAGTGGAAAAAGTAAAACATTGAGTAGAGAAAGGACAAGTCACACCAAGTTATCAAAGAACCACTGGGAATGATGCAGACTAGGGAGGGTTGTTAAAGAAATGACCATAAGCAGTGTGTGCCAGCAGCTGGTACAAGCATCAGTTCAGCTGTTGTTTCTTGGCCTGAAGTCACCGGGCAGGTGGCTGGGCAAGAAGCTGGATGTGGCTGAAACCGGTATGGCTCAGTGGATAGAGCATCCGCCTGCGGACTGCGGGGTCCTGGGTTCGATTCCGTCAAGGGCACAAACCTTGGTTGCAGGCATATCCCCAGTGGGGATTGTGCAGGAGGCAGCTGACAGATGTTTCTCTCTCATTGAGGCTTCTATCTCCTTTCCTCTCTATAAAAAAATCAATAAAATATATTTAAAAATCAATAAAAAGAAATGATAGGGACAATCCCAGTGGAGCCATGGTTAAGAGAGATGAAAATTTAAAAGCAGCAGCAGCAGCAGCAGCAGCAGCAGCAGCTGGATGTGCAGCAGGGAGAGCCAGGACAACTGAAGCCTGCAAGCAACACAATGGACCCAACATCCATCGCACCCAGCTGGCCTCTCCTGAGCCTGCGTCCTTCCGCTGCAGATGGCCTGAAGAAGCCAGTGTCACACCGGCCGGGATTTGGCACAGCAGCAGGCCGAGTTCTGGGGAGCTGGGGAGCTGGAGAAGCTCTGGGCTCAGCGTCTGTCCACCAGACCCATGAGATGTGCATGAGATGCAACATGGCTCAACCCACAGCAACATCCAGCACTAAGCCTGGGCATAGTGTTACTTGCCTAACAAGTGACATGCACTTCTCTTGTGGCCAGACCTAGCTGGAAATAAACAGGGAAGGGGATTCTGAGAAACACAGTGTAAGTTAGCCAAGTGGACAATATTATGAAACTACCACACACCATAAATATCTAATTAACTAGTATTCTTTAAAAATACATTGTTCTCTTCTGCTGCTCTCCAATAAGGATTTACCCAGGACTGCAATCTAAGTCAACGCCATTGTTTCGTCTAACTCATTTTACTGTGAAGTAAGTGGTGAGGGTGATGGCACCTGGGCCCTTTTCCAGCCCTGGAGACAAGAAGCCCTTCCTTCTCTGAAAGCTACAGCCTTGTCCTTATGTTTGGAGCTGGGCTCTGTCTTCAATAGGAACTCAAAAAAGGACAGTGATGGTGATGGCTTTAAAAGGCCACTTCCTGTCAGTCCAGCGGAAGGGAATATAAATATTCCTTGTATTATATTTTCCCACTTTTCTGCCAGTTTAGAGATTAAAAAAATGAAGTTAGAAAAAAACAACAACAACCCAGTAATGACAGTAAGTGGGGCCTAGTATAGCCATATTAACATGTATTGTGAAATTATAATATTAATATAAAAAAACAAACAGGATGGAAGAGTACGAAGAGAAAGATCAATAGGCCAGGCAGGCCCAGTCTTCGCCAGTTGACAGTTAAGTGGCATTATAAAGCTATCACCAGCATTGTCTTTTTTAGTTCCTGTTGAACACAGAATCCAGCTCCAAGCACAAGGACAAGCTGTAGCTTTGAGAATGATTAGAATAAGTTTAACATGTGAAAGAAGGGAAGCTACGTTATTCATGCATCAAGATCCTGACCACCTACAGGCATTATGACGACAAGCTTCTTCACCAGTGCGGCCCAAGTGAGGTTCAGACTATCAAACCTCAGAGGGAAGGTAGGGGAGGGTGGGGGAAAGAGGGAGAGAGCAACCAAAGGACTTGACTTGTATGCATGCATATAAGCCTAATCAGTGGTCACGGACAACGGGGGTGGGGGCGTGGGGGAGGGGGTGGGGTGGGGGAGGGGGGAGGATATGTGAGGAGGGGTTTGGGATGGCAATGGGGGAATGAGGACAATTATGTGATACCATATTAATAATTTTTTTTTTAAAGCTTGTCATCATAATGCCTTTGGATGGTCAGGATCTTAATGAATAACCTACGGTATCTTCCCTTCATTGATGGGCAGCTCTCCCTTCTTTCACGTTGTTATACTTACTCAGACCAGTCCATCTCCTCAGGCTGATGTCTCCCTCCACCTTACCAGGGCCCAGGGAGGCAGAAATGGGAGCTGGGTCAGCCTGGGAAATGAGATGCCACCCTGGCCTCTTCTCTGGGCTCTGGTTTCCAACTTGTCTTCCCGGCTCAGAGGAAATGAACAGTCTTGATATTATTTTGGTCCTTAGAAAACACCTAGAAATTGTAGTTGTTTTCCTATGTCTGAGTTTTTATTTTTTTCCATTTAGCTTAGAGTACTCATGTTTCTTCTGTGTCTTCAGAATATAGTCCTGAATTCTGTCCATTTTGAACTGTATTGTACTCCATTGATCTTTCTCTGCATATGGTTTCAAGCTGTTTCTTTCCTACAGTTCATTCTGGGTTCTAAGAACCTTGCAAGATAGCACCTCATTACCACCCAAGATTTAAAAAATTGTAAGCTCCAAGAAGCAGGTAAAGCTTACTGGGATAAGCGAGATCAACGTTCATCTTATCAACACACGGAAGGCTGTTTCTGGCCCCGAAGAAGCCCCTCAGGTTTGGAGGAGGAAAGGGAGCCCGGTGAGTCCTGTAGGGAAGCCCAGGGCTTCCCTTCCTCCCCAGCTCTGACTCAGTTCCCCCGCCTGGACCTGTTCCCACACCCCATTCCTTTGCTTCTTCACTTTTTTCTTCCATTTGAACATTTATGACGGGCAAAGAACTGCATGAAGTGGCTCTGGTTACTCAAATTGCTTCATTTCCTAAACTCGCACAGCTATCAGCAGCATTCTGTGGCCATTTCCATTCCCCAGGCACAGGGTCTGACACATTCGAAGGCGCCACAAACGCCTGCTGAGTGAGTGCTGCTGGGTGTCCCGTCAAAGCCAGCATCGCCACCAGTCCGCCAGGCTGGTGAGACATGCTGGCTAGCACCTTGTTACACAAGCGGGCGCTCTGCAGTGTCGGTGTGACAGAGAAACTGAGCTGTGTGCCGGAACCCCATGGGCAGTGGGAGATGAGCCTGGTGAGGGTGTAGAAGGGGAGTCGCCAGTTTCCGGTGACTACACACCGTAGCCTGGCACACACCAGCACTGGTGTTTCCCCGGAGCAGGAAGGGGGCCCAGGGAAAAGCCCGTGGGTGGAAATGGGGCAGGAACAGTAACAACACACAGGCCCGGATTAAATCGGTTCTTTATGTTTACAACCCATAACCCAGAGCCTTGACAACATTTCATGGAGGCATCAAGGACACGGAGCTCCTTAGCATACACACCCCTCCCCTTCGCTCCACACCTAGATTAAATAATATACACTCTCAATTTAAAAAAAGCTAAACAAAATAAAATAACTCCCAGTGCAGAGTTCTGGAAAGAATTCCTAAAAAAAACCGTCCCGACATCAGGCATCACTGAGAATTAGTTTGGTTCATTTTGCAAAGGAAGCTGCACCCAGGAAAGGGGGAGGTAGGACAACATGAGGTTTCCAGGCCAGCGGGCTGCCTCACAGCCCCTCCCACCAGCTCCGAGCCGGCCCCATCACCCCACGCTGGTTCCCAGGGTCCTCGGGGTGCGGTGGCGCCGGGCTCTGAGGCCAGGGAACAGCCGCCTGGCGGGAGGGCGAAGCCGCTACAGCCGGAGCTCCCGGTCCGGCTTCATGCTGAAGGGCTCCAGCCGCTCGCCCTCCGGCAGCATGCTGTTGAGCCTCTCCATCAGGGGCACCGTCTGGTCGATGCCCATCTGGATGCGGCGGAGGATGGCGGACATCTCGTTGACTTTCTGGATCTGCTCCGCGTACTTGGCATACCTTTTCTGGCGCTCTTGCATGAAGCTAAAGAGAGTTTCTACCGAAAGGTCCATCTGTAGAAAGGAAAGGAAGTGAAGTGCATGAATCTAGGTCAAGCCCGGCAGTCCGCGCTCCGCGCTCGGCAGGAGGCACAGAGTCCCTCGGATCAGGTGGGAGCCGGCGAGCTTTAGGGGAAGCAAACGCGGGGATTGAAAAACCCCAGAGCCATCATTAGAGGGAGACTAAGAGATGGCTGTCTCGGCTCTGTGTGTTGGGAACATGAGCCATTTTGTACCTTGCTGAGACCCTGGGATTTCTATCTCGATCCGTCTACATGAAAGAATCCTGGCCTCAGAAATCAGACAGACCAGGGTCTGAAGCTGGCTCTGCCGCGTGGGTTGATAATAATTACGCTTTCTATCTCAAGGTCTCCATCTGCAAGCAGCAGAACAAACTGAGGAGCTGCAGGTTGCTGTGAGGATGCGATTAACACCTGCAAACACGAGCAGCACAGGACCCGGTGCTGTGAACCCCCCTCTTCATCCCCCCTCTCTTCCCTGGTGGCTTTCCCTCCAGGACCAAAATGCCAACCACGGCTCAAGTCCGTGGCCTCATATCCTCTCCCCCAGTTAAACAAACTTGATGCTCCGGGCTCCCTTCTGTGACCTCTTTTCTTCCCCTCGTGATGTTCTTTGGAACCTGCCATGCGGATAAAGCAGGGGGAGGGAACCTCTAGCATGTCCGGTGCCTGTACCCCCTCCTGTGAATAGACCCCACATCCTCTCCCTCCCAGTTTCCTCCCCCGACCAGTGAAGAAACATTGTCAAAAGTGCACATAGCTATCCCAGAGTTCAAGTGCTACGGCTGCCCTTCTCATCTATCCCAGGAGCAAGCCCCCTCCAACCACAATCGTGCCAAGTGCTGGCATTCCATCAAGCTATCACAGAGCCTCTGCAAATGGAGTGACCAAAACAAAACTAACGAACTAGCTAACTGACATAGGAGAGACCAAAGCTAACCCCAACAAAAAAGAACCAGTTCTGTTTTCACACTGTCTGTGGACGGAGGGATGGGGTCAGAACTCAGTGCTTGATTTCTGGGTTGGTTCCTCCTTCGTTCTGCAATGCCTAGGGCAGTGGTCGGCAAACCGCTCTCGAGCCACATGCGGCTCTTTGGCCCCTTGAGTGTGGCTCTTCCACAAAATACCACGTGTGGGTGCGCACGTACAGTGTGACTGAAGCTCCGTGGCCCATGCGCAGAAGTTGGTTTTCGGCTCTCAAAAGAAATTTCAATCGTTGAACTGTTGATATTTGGCTCTGTTGACTAATGAGTTTGCCGACCACGGGCCTAGGAGACAAAAAGACAGCTAGTGGGAGGGGGTACAAGGAGAAAACAGATAAAAACCATCTGAGTGGGAAACTCCAAATAACGTGGAGACAGTTTATACTCTCAGAGGGTTCTGTGCGACCCCGTTCAGCCACTCAGCACTCTGGAGGCAGGAACCGGTAAGTTACTGCGCTCCTGACAGTCACCGCCAGGCCTTTCCGCCGCCGCGATCTAGTCCAGTACCTAGACCCACTCCACCTCTGAGCGGCCGGAAGATGGGGGAGCCAGTTGGAATCCTCATAAGAACCAGTGGGTCACAGGACAGCCTGCTCAGAACCCAGGACCCTCTCAGGTTATCGCATTTCACTTGACAGGGGCATCCCATCCCCCAACTCCCAATCAACAGAGGAGACAGGCACATGAGGAGTTTATCACGTCTAAGGCCCTTGGCAATCAGCCCATTCCCCGACATTTACTTGATCAGAGAGTTTTCACAACCATTTTAGCAAGGTGTTTGCTCAATAGGATAGACATCCCTACACATCTGCGCACCCAGCTAGGTCCTATGTTTAATGTAACCACAGCTTTAGCTCAGAGCCATGTCATATTTCATGCTTAGGTGAGAACACATCATTCAAGCATGCTATTCATACATGCTTACAGTTTGGCTTTCCGGAACCAACTGCCTAACAGTCCACGGAAGTAAAAAACAACTTAAGGTTGAGTGACCTCCAAGGTCTCAGAACGACAGAATCAAGCCTGAAACTCAGATCTCCTCCGTCCAGCATCTTCCTTTTACACGTATTTCCCAAGAGAATGTCCCACGGGTGTACATGAGATTGTGGTTGGCACGTGAAATTTCAGTTGGTACATGGCCTAGTATTGAACAACGTCAAAGTACATGATGGGAAAAAGCCATTGCCTTTTAAATCCTTTCCTATTCTTTCTGATCGCTATGGGAAAGTCTCAATTTGGTGCAAAGTTAAGAGTTTAATACCTAGAAAAGTATAGTAAAATTGGTGATACCCATTTCTCATGTCCTTTTCTCTCTTGAGGCAACCCTGTTCCTGATCCCTCATCCCTGTCCCTATCTTTGTACGGTCGATGACCCCAGTACAGACTTATTCTAGCACAGCTGACCTGACGTCAGGCAGTGAAGTCACTATCTAATGCAATCCTGGATCTTACCATTGTGACAATCTGGAACTTTTGTTACTCACCTTTCCTATTTTTACTTTTGGAACAAAGATTTTAGAAGCATAAACAGACATGTGTTGAGTACTGTAGGTGAACATGCAAGGTCATATGGGTGTAGATACTGAGAACCAAAACTGTTCACACCCACACAGCTTACTGTGTACAGTAATATGACGTTTTGTTTCCACTGTCTTTGTTAACATAACTTTACTATTCCAGGAAACTCAGGCCCAGGAAGAGAAATGTTGCAAAAAGTTTGTTTCAGGAACTTCCAGAAACATCATTTAAATGTAATAAAAGAAAAAGAAAATGAAAAAGATTTTCCAATACAGAGTATGCCTGTTTAGTCTCCACAACCCCTGCCTTAAAGTCCTTGCTTTGCTGTGATTAAGTTCTAGTCAGTGGACATATATGTGGAAGTTGCCTGTGCAGCTGTTAGCTGGCACTCTCTGTGCTCTCCTCCTTCTCCTCTTCATCCCTTCCTCTCTCTGCTGTTGTCGGAATGTGGATGCAGCCCCCTTAGACCACAAGAATAACTAAGGTCAAATCACTGGGTTGGCAGAGCAGAAAGCTAGAGAGTCTGGGTCCATGAGGAGGTTTGTGGCTGAGAGTAGTACCAGGCATGGGAGAGAAGCATAAACTTCAATTCTAGATAAGCCACTGTAATTTTGGGTCTCTGTAACAGCAGCTGAGTTTAATCTTTAACTGATAAAAATGAATGAGGTAAAGTTCTTGTCCTCAAGGAACCGAATATTTACTCTCAAACTCATACTTCAAACCTTGTCCTACATATTCATCCTTTCTTTTTTTTTTTTTTTTTTTTTTGGCAGTACATTTCAAAGGACAGGTGAAAAATGAGGTAGGTATATCTGTGGGCTTTACCAAAACATTAGTTCTCTGCAGAAAGTGCTCAAATTTGTTTCCTACATGGATGGGGCAGCCTATTTGCCCACCTGGTCAGTCCACTGCTGGATATGGATCCAAAATATCAGCAAATCAAATCCAGCAACATACGAAAGGATAATGCATCCTAACCAAGTGAGGCTTAACTCAAGGATGCATACTTTTGCAGCATCTGGCAATCAAAGTAATCTGCCATTTCAACAGAACAAAGATTAAAAATCATATAATCACTTCAATAGATGCAAAAAAAAAAAAAAAAGCATTCAACAAATTCAAATATAAAAAAGGTCAGCAAACTAGAAACAGAAGAACAACAGTCCTCAACTGATAACGGGCATCTATGGGAAAGCTACAGTTAGTGTGAGAGACACTTTCCCCCCTAAGATCAGGAACAAGGATGTTCACTCCCATCACTTCTATTCAGCATGGTACCAGAGGTAAGAAATTTAATAAATAAGGGCAGGAAAAAGACTGACGGTTTTGAGGCATCCAAATAGACACACTGTATCTCTGTTGTTATGACTCATCTCTATTACACCAGCTTCAAGGCTTTCACAGTCACTCAGATGACAGTTCACCATTGTGCGTTTTTGCTGACAAGTTTTATTTGTGTTCTGAATTTCTGCTGCTGAAAAATCTTACAACAGAGTCCAATTACTCAGCCCAGAGTTTCCTGACAGAAACACAGAAACACTTCACACTACATAATAACTGAAATCACTACTGGCCTTCCTTTTGTTTTATGTTCAGCCATGACAATGGGTAACTATTACCAATGTTTGGTGTTTCCCAACATGAAAAATATAAATATTTATGTGAACGTGCATGTGTATTAAAAAAACAAAACACATTTTGAAAGCAGACAGAAGAGCTTTTGTACCTTCTCCAGCTTAAAATTCTTTGTTACATAAAATTTCCCGATAAAGTAAGCTTTGATGCTGGTTTGGGACAGGTGGGCCATCCTATGGAAGATGTCTACATGCTTAATGAGATTTCCTTTTCAAACTAAAGGTCATCTCTTCAAAGTAGTGACACATTTCACAAGGTCCTATAGCTTTACTAGTAAGTTAGAAAAGATGCATGGATCAACAATAAGAGAGCCTCATATAGATATTGTATAAGATGGCCAAAAATAAGTTTAATAACTTTCTTATGGGTCAAAAGAAAAACAAACAGGTAAACTGTGTTCCACAGTTAACAAAATTCAAGTCTATATAATCAGTAGATTGATGTGTTTCCTATCCCTAAATTACTTACGTTTACAAGAAATATTAAAAACAAAAAAGACTGCTTAAGAATTTAAGGAGACTATGTTAAAAAAAAAATCACACACCTTTATATCCTTTAAAAGCAATGTCCAGTTTTCAATATGATGTCGCTCAGTTAACTTAAGCTTCAGGGTCAGCTTTTATTTGATCTCAAAAGATAGTTCACTTTCTCTGTGTTCATTCTACTCCTAAATTCAATTTAAGAGCATGAGCTCCTGGGGGGGAGGAGGCCGTGGTGAGCCAAGGCCAGCCATCCAGGGGCTCTCTGTCCCCCTTCTCACATTCTGAATCTGGTCCCAGCTCCATTCCTCCCTTGCACGGGCGGCCCCTGTGTTCCAAAATGTAACAAATACACAGTGACATACAATTCTGTTCTTTTA